TCCTTTCTATTTATTTATTTTAGAAGCCTGTAGCACACAACAGTACCAGTTTACCAGCCCTGGATCGTTGTGCCGCCGTGAACCAAACTTTTGCATGAGAGCAGAACCACTCCCGGTGCACTAGGCTGACCAGTTAAAAAAAAAGCACTTACAGCAGAAAAATCTACAACAGCCGTTGGAAAGGAGCAGACACCAGAAAGCTGATACTGGCAAGTTTCAAAATTGAAATGCAGTGGCGCCGCGTATTCGGCCAGTGATGGAAGCAAGAGCTGCCTGAAAAAAGAAGCAAGAATGTGGAGCGGAGAGACAGAGAGAGAGAAGAAAGCCTGGAAAAAATGGTTGCGCCAAAATTGAGAGCCAATAGGCATGCAATATGCAAAAACAGGGCCCTGAGAAATGCCAGGGAGCTTCGATTCTGTCGACGAAATGCACCAAGCGTGCTCAGCTCCAGTTCTGGGGCATTTCAACGCACTGCCCAGATACACACACACACAGTGCCCCCATCTCTCAGGATGCCCGCAAAATAAGCTAAGTTTTGAAGAAACTTCACGACCCAGACAAGCAGGCCCTTACGCTCCAGGCTAGTTGCAGCTTACAGGTTTGCGGCAAAATGCAGTGCGCACTTATTGCACAGAAATCCAAGAAGCGATATCAAGGAATGCTCCCCTCCTCGGCGGCACCTTTTCGACAAAACACCCATTCGATTCTTGCGCATTTTAGCAAAACCAGTGTGACCAGAGGCAACGGATCTGGGCAAATATACACACCAACGGACGGACACACCGGACAGCAGAAGGAGCGGGAAACATCAGTACAGCCTTCTACTCGCCACGCTGAGCACTACCACTCAAAGCTAAAGTGAAAAGGCGGCGCTGGGAGATGATGGGTGGCACAAGATGAGCCAACGAGAGGGGGAGAAATTTACTTCTAAAATGAGCAGCAAAGAGCCAACTAAAACAGACCTCAGCATGAACGGTGTGGCGATAGCCACCAAGGCGGCAGTGCAGAGCTGAACAAACAGCACAAGCGCATTGAGCAGCGTGAATTGATCACACAGGTTCGCAACTCGTGGAAAAATCCTATTCACTATAGGCATTCATCAAATTCCTGAAAATTAATAGCGAATTCACTCAAAAAAGCACGCATAACATGGATGGCTGCTGGCAGATGGACGCGCGAAATCCATACTGGGAGGAAGGGGGGAGGGG